TCTGAGCCATCTGGAACTAGTTGAGCTTTCTCTGTAGGTGGGTGTATAAATACCAAGAGAAAGTAAGGTATCCCTAGAGTCCTCTAACATTTGCAGAGATTTGTCCAGGCTGTCCACAAACAACTTAGACCCACCAAAAGGAAGGTGCTCCACCATATTCTGGACCTCTTTTGGAAATCTGAAGAGTTCAAGCCAGAATGTCCTCCTCATAACTACCACTGCAGCGATCAAATGGGCAGCAGTATCAGCGGCATCGAGGGAGGCTTGTAGACATGTTCTGGCAAGTAGCTGGCCCTCTGCAATAACTGTGTTAAGTTGATCCCTGAGCTCTGCTGGTAGGTGGTCAACAAAAGAGTTCATTTTGGTATAGTTTTGTGATTGTATTTTGTCATTTGCACCTGGTAAATGGCAATTCTAAATTGGAAGGACACTGAGGAATATGATCTTTTTCATGAGGCATATTTTTAGCGTAGTGCCTCCTTTCATGTTCATTAACTGCATCGACTGCCAAGGAGTTAGGTGAGGGATAAGAAAATAAAAATTTGGAGTCCTCTGCTGGGACATAATACTTCTTATCCACCCTCCTGCATGCAGTAGCTGGAGTGTGCCAGACTATCTTCTCTGGGTCCAGAAGAGCATCATTGACAGGCAAAGCTAAGTGGGTAGAAGCGGGTGAATAGAGGATATCAAGCAGCTTATGAGGAAGTTCTTTAACCTCCTTGAGGGAGAACTGCAAGGAGTCAGCAATTCTCTTGACCAGGACCTGGAACTGCTTGAAATCATCCACCAAGGATGGAGGAAGAATCATAATAGCTTCATCTGGAGAGGATGATTAAATGTTGGCTGCACGAGAGACCTCTTCATCAGTACTAGCATCCTGCTCCTCAAAAGATTTCTTGTCTCTGGAGGGACAAGATGATGCAGGTTGCCTCTCTCTGTGAGGAGTGATGGTTAGGACCCTACCAAATTCACGGCCACGAAAAACATGTCATGGACTGAAATCTGGTCTCCCCCTCTCAAATCTGGTCTTTTGTGCGCTTTTACCCTATGCTATACCGATTTCACCGGCAAAAGACTAGAGTTTTTCAAATTGGGGGTCCTGACCCAAAAAGAAAGTTGCAGGGGGTGGGAGATCGCAAGGTTCTTTCAGGGGGGATTGTGGTATTGCCACCCTTATTTCTGTGCTGACTTCAGAGCTGGGTGGCTGCAGAGTGGCAGCTGTTGGCTCTCTGAAGGCAGTGCCCAGCCAGCAGCCGTGCAGAAGTAAGGGTGGCAATGCCATACCATGCCATTCTTACTTCTGCGCAGCTGCTGGTGGTGGCTCTTCCTTCGAGCTGGGCTCCCAGCCAGCACTGCCATCTGTAGCAGCACAGAAGTAAGGAGAGCAGTATCGCAATCCCTCCTACGATAACCTTGCGACCCCCCCAAACTTCCTTTCGGCTCAGGACCCCAACAATTTCAACTTTGTGAAATTTCAGATTTAAATAGCTGAAATCATGAAAATTGCTGTTTTTAAAATCCTAGAACTGTGAAATTGACCAAAATGGACCATGAATTTGGCAGACCCCTACTGATGCTCAATGCCCTGGAGAATTGTTGGCGATGGGACCTTTGGCTAGCCTAATATGGCCAAGAAGGAGGTGCATAAGGTGGAGGTGGCACCCACAGGTGCTCATACCAGCGACATGTTGGTTGGAAACTTGTACCACGAGTAGTTATAGTCTCATCAAAAACTTCTGGAAAGGAGCCTCTATCGGACTGAGAGAACCCTGAGTTGATATTTGAGACACCAAGGCAAGGTCTTCATCAGCATCCTTTTTCTCAAACTCACTCTGGAAAGATGGAGCGCCTGGAGATCTGAGGTGAACCCGTCGTTACCGGTGAACTTCAGGTGATCTTTATGTTCTCAGTACTGACAGCATGTTGGAGCTGAGCAGTAGAGAATCGGGTGTCCCCTCAGATACAGCCAGGTCTCAGGGAAAATGGAACTCCTGCGAGTGTGTCATGGGTACTGAGTCTGTGGTCTCCATCAAGGTGATAATAGCTGAGGACACTAACAGTACTGGGGGTCTCGGGTGCTCCAAGGGAAGTGTTTTCGTAGCCTGATAGGGCTTCTTCAATATCGAGGAAGAGTTCTTCTTGCCACCTTAATCTGTTAACCGTACTAATGATCAAAGAAAGCTTTGCAGTCTTTCAGTGTAGCGGTGCTCTGGGTACCTGAGGAACCAGCAGCCTCATGGGTACCTGAATGGAGAGCAGATGGTGCCAGAGTAGCTGAAGACAGACCGACAGACAGACCGACCGACCATCTCGCCTTTTTAGAGGTAGATTCCCTACCTGGTGAGCCCAGGGCATGGTCCTTGAGGACTTCTGTGAGGAGTCTTGCATCTTCCTCTTAGATGCCCTGGAGGAGTGGGGCTCCAATATCATGGAGGCAGAAGATTTGCTTGGAGACCGGTATACAGGAGGGAACCCTTGGCCCAGGTCAGAAGCCAGACGTAAAGAGCTCTCGGTCATGAGAAGACAAAGTTTTATCTCCCTGTTTTTTCTGGCTCTGTATTTCAGTGCCAGACAGATGTGCATTTCCCCAAGGCAACAGATGCAGCAGGAATGCCCATCACTTACCAGGATCACCTCCCAGCACAACAGAGACAGACAACATTTGAAGCTGGGAGACCTGGGTAGAACATCCCAGTGAACAAGAACTGCTAACCAGTATCTATCTAAATATAATATATAATAGAGATTTTTTTTTAAAAAAAATTTATAACTAGAAAACTAAAATTACTACTATTACTACTACTACTACTAACTAAATAACTAAACCAGGGGTTCTCAAACTTCATTGCACCATGACCCTCTTTTGACAATAAAAATTACTTCACGACCTCAGGAGGGGGGACCAAATTTGAGCCTGCCCAAGCCCCACTGCTCTGGGTGGGAGGGCCAAAGCCCAAGCCCCACTGCCCTGGGTGGGAGGGCCAAAGTCCAAGCCCAAGGGCTTCAGCCCCAGGCAGGGGGCCTGCAACCGGAGTCCTGCCACCCAGGGCTGAAGCCCCAGGCATTGGCTTCAGCCCTGGGTAGTGGGGGCTTGGGCTTCAGTAAGTCTAAGCCAGTCCTGGCAACCCCATTCAAAGGGAGTTGCGACCCACTTTGGGGTCCCGACCCACAGTTTGAGAACCGCTGAACTAAACTAATGATAATAACTACTACGACTAACTACTACAATAAGAAATGAGGGCAAAGTTGAGGAAATCTCAACGGGGATAACTGCCAGAGCTCCCCCTCTCAGACCGAAGTGGTTGAGAAGGAACTGAGGCGGTTCATCACTGCAGGGCTACATAACGATGACATGGGACACGGGCCTAACTAGCACACATACACAGGCCAAATGGATACTGCTATGAGAAATCTCTGATCAGAAGCATAAGGGGAGCTAGCAAACAGAGTGGAGCACCCATAGGGGCACTACTCAAAGAAGAGCATCTGTTCAAGAAATGCTTTGTCACCATTTCATTTAAAGAGATAAAATAACTTGGCTGAAACTAATGGACAAAATCCTTTTTCAAATCAGGTCTTTAAAAACAACATTTTTTCATCATACAAACAACACAGGAAATTATTCAAACTGAAAGAATTTTAAGCATTATTTATTTGTTTCCCATATTCACACTCTACTCTTCTGTCAGCTTGGACAAGAAGAAGAAAACTGCCAATTTCAATGTGGTCTACAATCAGTTTCTACTTCATTTCACTTAAAAGGTAGAACAGGATCATGATATTATATTTGGTTGCAAACACCACAGGAGGCCTTTTTGTTTAAAAAAAATTTTATTAATTTAAGTTCATAGAAAGCTCATTTTTACAAACTCTAAGGCTCCAGCCCATGCATCTGCACTGCAATTTTATAGTCCGAGAACCCGAGCCCCACGAGCCCAAGTCAGCTGACACAGGGCAACCACAGGTGTTTTATTGCAGTGTAGACATACTCTAATATAGCACTATTAGAGACTGCTACAGTATATAGATACACAGCTCTTTCAAAGAACCTGTATCACACCCGCTATTCCAGTCTTGGACCTCTCCTGAGCTGAATGCTAATCACACAAAACTTCTACTTGGCATTATGATACAACCATGACGTTTATTTTCATACGTTTCCCAATCAGAATGTGATCCTAAGGCACAATCCAAGACCCATATATTCATGTGATCAAACTAAGGAATTCATTGCCTCAGAAAGTGGTTGACGCCAAGTACTTAAGATTCAATATGGGACTGGATATTTATAAGGCTACCAAGAATATCTAGATTTGTTGCAATGAATAACAATCTCGGAAGGGATATTAAACCTTGTGCTTCAGGGCTTAAGAACAGGATGAGACCTATGGTGAGGTCAGGTTATCCCAAATCCACCTACTGCAATGTTCTTACACCTTCTTCTGAAGCATCTGGTGCTGAGATACTGACAAGAGACAGGATACTGAAATAGAAGGACCTTGGGTCTGTTCCAGTCTCGTAATTCCTATGTTCCTATATACTTCTGCAATTAAAAGTTTTATTTCACACTAGACTGCTTCATACTATTATTCAGATTAACTAACCGTCTTCCCATGAAAGTATTCAGCAATCATTGTATTTATAACACCCTAATGCTATTATACGGATTTCTTTTTATTAAACATAGGAAAATACAGCTAAATTGTTCCTCAATTATTTCCAGACAATACAAGAAAGAACAGGTTACAAACAGAAGATCTTTTAAAAAAAAAAAAGACTTAGACCCCAAACCTGCAATGAGCTTTTCTATCTTACATAGGTTTTGGATGAACACAGGAGTCCACCTACATGAAGCTCAGTGCAAAATGAGAGCCTTACTTCTGATTCTTTGGGTTTAATAAGTATCACCCAGGGACAGAAAGTTTCAAAATACAACAGCTAACAAAATACGATGAGGGAACACAAATGTCTTCTACCTACAAAAAGTTTGTGATATTTACCTGATATGGCTTCTTCTTGCAGGAGATCTGTGAATATCAAACAGTGCATTTTCCCTCTTTTTTTGATGAGCTGGCACTGAGCAAAAAAGGTAACAGGCTTGAAACATCAAATACAAAAAAGGGTAATCACATGACAATCTACTTAAATGAAAATAAGTTGTTGTTTTGTTTTTTAAATGACAAATCTATACAAAAAAGTGCCTATCTTGAGCTCTAGGTGACTTTGCCGAAAATTAGAAACACCTCACCCAAAACCCAGCAAATAAGACCATAATGAAAATAAGCCCATATATATCCCTCTTCCTCACAATCCTCATCTTTTATTGTGACCCTGTCTCTCCAAAAGCCACATGAAGAAATGGGCTTTGCAGCATGCCCTCACTGTCAGAAAATTTGGATTATTTCAGATCAAGGGAAGGAATGAAAAAGATAGCGTGGTCTTTATGAGGGGCCTCCATTACCAGTTCCATCTCTTTTCAAACTCCTCAGCTGATTGCAGCTGTCACAATATAGCAGAGATAGAGAGATGGTTTTTCAAATAGGCAGAATTCATGCCACCACATTCTGCAACAGCTTCAGTTTCCATGTTGTTTTAAGGTGTACCCTTATGTGCAGTGCACAGTGGTAGTTTAATTGTGAAGTGATATATGCATGAACAGCAGCAAGATCTACATCCAAAAGAAATAGCTGCAATCTCTTATCTAGACGAAGACTGGAAAATGCTGCTTGTGATAAACTAACAGCACCAACGGACTCAACACTATCCCCAGTTACACACTCTAGTTATGAATGGTGGGCACACAAACTCACTCAGAGGAACAAACTTAACCATCACCATATCTTCCATTCTGATTTCCCCAACCTACCAGCATCACCATTTCCCTATCTAGATTGAGCTTTAACCAGTTAGCTCTTATCTATGTCCTCATCTACGCCAGACTCTAAGCCAGGCATGCAAGAGCAGTAGGTAGGTCAGATTAGAGAGTTATAGAACTGATAACACCACCACACTGAATATACCACAGTCTATGTTTCATTAACCTTCTCAGATGCCCCGTATACAAGTTGAACAAAAGGGGAAGCATGATGCAACCCCATGGAACTCTGCATAGAAGCTCCTTTAGGGATGAAAAGCAATTATCCAAATTCTCTCCCCTTGTCCATTGTTCCGACCAAGGCAACACAACAGAGCAGAAGCGTGTGACCTTTGGTGAGTCACTTAACAAGTCTGTGGCAGGTCCTGGAATAAAAACCTTCATTTCCTCATGTCCAACTGCATGCTTTAACAATCTGACAATGTTTATTCAGTAACCCAGAGAAACCAAGGCAAAACAATTACAATACTTAACAGTGAAAAATGTATGGTATCTTTGAGCTCTACCAAAGAGCAAGTCCACTAAAAGAGACATTAAAATCAATACGAGTAGAAAGGTCATCTATGGTCCTGATTCCTTACCTATTGGGGGTGCCTGGTACCTTTCCACAGTTTTTCTTTGCCTTAGATTATAAGGTCGATCATTTTCTTCTCCTTCTGCCTCTTCTACTTCTATATCTCCATCCTCCTCTTGAGATTCTAAAAAGAAAAAGCAAAACACATTTTGAACAGTTCTATTTCTTTATTTTTCAGAGCAACCTTGCCCCTCCCACGCTCTCCCCAAAAATAAGTCCACAAAAATAAATTCTAAATGCATAAGGATCATTTTCTTCACTAATTAGAACCACCACTGGGGGAAATCTGTGGGATGTTTTGCCAAATTGCCTACTGGCTTCTATAGGATTTTTTTTGTTTTGAAAAATCAGCAGGATATAACAATAATAAATGTAGTAGATTTCTACATATTTACAAAGTAGTTTTACATAAAATTAGTTTATTTTACCCAGTTTGGGGGTTGTTTTGTTTTTCATTTTAATAATAATAATCCCTTACCTACTTGAGATATGTGGCTGGTAAAATGAAGGCAGCTGGGAGACTAAAGAAGTTAGCCAGCTGGTAAGTATTTGTGGGGCACTTCTGTCTTACTGCTACTGATTAACTTTGGTGGGGAAAGGGACAAAAGAGAAGGACTTTCTGTGCTGGGAACTTGTTCGCGAGCGTGGCAGGACTCTGGGTTGAATGCTGTGTTTTGAAATCTAAGTTTGGTTGCTGAATGTCTGAAGAAGGTTGCCCTGCAGTTAGGTGAGTCAGCACCTGCTTTCTAGCAGGGCTTTTTGAAGGGCTCTACCTGGGCTCTTTGAAGAGAAAGAGCAGTTCAGTTTTTTGTGTGAACAGGCCAGTGATTACAGACAGCTGAGTGTGATGGGTTGAGTCACCCATTACAGCTGTGTGTAAGGCCCAGGATTTAACAAGCATGCAAGCTCTAAATGGCTGGTAAGACACATGGCTGGTGATGCAAAGCGAGTTAGCCAGATGGTATTTCTGGATCACTTCTGTCTTATTGCTATTGATTAACATTGACCACTACCCCATGTCACTCGTCCACGTGGGCACTAATGATACTACCAGGTCTGACCCTGAGCAGATCAGCAGTGACTACAGGGCTCTGGGAGCAAGGATGAAGGTTGTGTTCTTGTCCATCTTCATGGCTGAGGGTAAGGTCCCAGACAGGGGGACATGCATCCTGAAGATGAATGCATGTTGACACCATCTGTGCAACCAGGAAGCTTTCTCAACCATGAATGCTATTCCACGAAGGAGGACTGCTGGAAGGAGATGGGGTCCACCTACCGAGAAGGGAAAGAGCCGCTTCAAGCCCCAACTCACCCACACACCTACAGCACATATTACCCAACATGGAGAGAATTCTGAGCCCTGACCAAGCTGGCTTTCGCCGAGGCCATAGCACATGCGACCAAGTACTCATGATGACCACATTTGTTGAAAATGGCTTCCAGAGAAACTTGAAAACAGGCACTGTTTTCATCGATCTAACAGCAACATTCGATATGGTATGGCACACTGGCCTGCTCGTGAAGATATCACAGGTCCTGCTACCTTGGGTTACAGGCATCACTGAACTGTTCCTCCGTGATAGGCAATTCAGAGTCCATATGGGGGAGAAGAGGAGTGCTTGGAGACAAGGCAATGAGTTACCTCCCAGGTCTCTGTGCTTTCTCCAACCCTGTTCAACCTACGTTTACATCAATGACCCGCCAACAACAGAGTCACAAAAGTTCATTTACGCAGACAACATCAGTTGCGGTACCCAGGCCCGGACATTCCACGAGCCTGATGCCACCTGAAACCGGGACATGACAAAGTTAGCTGACCACTGTAAGACTTGGCATCTCCAGCCAAGCATCATAAAAACAGTCTCCAGGTTGTTCCATCTTCATCACGCCAGTGCAACCCGAGAACTGAACGTTTATCTGAATGGTCAGAAGGTGAAGAATGAAGTAGAACCAGTCTACCTAGATGTGACTTTAGACCCACACTGAGTTACCATGTCCACGTGAAGACGACAGCAGCTAAAGTTAAGACGTGCAACAATCTTCTTAGCAAACTGGCAGGTTCATCATGGGGTGATCTAACTTTGCGGATGTCAGCTCTTGCCACCTCACATTCGGTGGCCAAGTACTGCGCACCAGTTTGGAGTTGATCGTCACACACCAAACTGGTGAATACACAATTACATGCTGCCATGAGTATCATCTCCAGCACCCTGCGTCCGACTCCACTCCCATGGCTTCCAGTTCTGAGCAGTATTGCTCCTCCTCATATCAGACGAGAGGTTGCCACTGGCAAGTTGCTGGAGAAAGAACACGCCAACCCAAGCCTGCCGCTGCACAATGACCTTTTTAAGCCACCAGCTGCACGTTGCTGTCACGTCACCCATTATGGTCTCATCTGCCACGCCAGGATGTGAGGGCGGAAACACTCTGGCGAGACGAATGAATATCTATTATAATCCCCAATCAGTCCCTTGTTGCTGACCCCACAATTTGCCCTCCTGGTTTTGACCTGCCCCATCACCGATGGTCCCTGTTGAACAGGTTCCGGACTGGGCAAGGCCTTTGTGCAGCCAAATAGTACCACTGGGGCCTTCATGACAGCCCTTTGTGCAGCTGCGTCACAACACAGATGATGCACATTGTCGATGAATGCCTGCTGACTAGGTTCAGTGATGGCCTAGAAGAACTGCATCAAGCCACTGAAATGCCATTGCTTGGCTAGACGACTATGCACATGCTAAATAATTAAGCGAGGAAAGCTCTAAAGTAGGTTCAAAGAAGACAGGTGACAAAAGCCCACAGGTAAGCATAAAAAAGGCAACTGTAACAGAAGGCTAGATGTTTGGGGGAACTTCATGGGCGGGAGGCATGGAAAATTACAGTAGGATCTCAGGTGCAACAAGAGAATAATCAGCATAGGAATCTGCTCAGTATCTCAGATGTCAACACAAATGCCAAGGGTATGGGCAATAAACAGGAAGAACTGGAAATATAAATACACAGGCTAAATTATGACTTAACTGGCAGCATAGTGACTTGGTGGGATAAAACTCATGACTGGAATATTGGTATAGAGCAGTACAACTAGGAAGACAAGGCAGAGAAAAAGGGAGGAGGTGTTGCAAGAATATATACACTTGTTCTGAGGTCAAGGAGGAGGTTGAGAGACAGATCAGTTGAAAGTCTCTGGGTAAAGACAAAAGGGGAAAAAATATGGATGATATCATGGAAGGGAGTCTACAGTAGACACCAAATCAAAAAGAGGAGGTGGATGAAGCATTTGAAGAATAACAGAAATATCTAAAACACAAGACCCAGAAGTAGTGAGGGACTTTAAGTACTCAGAGTCTGTTTGAAAAGTAATACAGCAAAACACAAAATGTCCAATAAGTTCGTGGCATGCACAGGGAACAACAACTTTTTTTGGGGGGGGGGGGGGGGGGACAAAAAGGATGAATAACCAGATGGGCAGCTATTTTTGACTTAATTCTGACCAACAGTGAGAAATTCATTGCGAATCCTAAGGTGGAAGGCAATTTTGGTGAAAGTGATCATGAAATGATAGATTTCATTATTCTAAGGAGAAAGGGAGGAGTGAGAGCAGCAGAATTAGGATAGTGAAAATCAAAAAAGCAGATTTTAACAAACTCAGAGAATTAATAGGTAAGGTTCCATGAGATGAAAATCTAAGGGAAAAGGGAGGTCAGTAGACCTGGCAGTTTCTCAAGGAGTCAACATTACTGGCACAACTACAAATCATCCCGATGCAAAAGAAAGATAGGAAGAATAGTAAGATGCCAATATGGCTCCATCAGGAGCTCTTAAATGACATGCAAATCACAAAGGAATCCTATAAGACGTGAAAACATGGACAAATTGCTAGGATGGAGCACAAAAGAATAGCACAAGCATGTTGGAACAAAATCAGAAAGGCTAAGACAAAATGAGTTACACCTTGCAAGGGACAAAGACGACAATAAGACAAGGGTTTTTTTAAAATACATTAGGAACAAGAGAATGCTGAGGGAAAGAGTAGCGAGGAAAGAGTTAATAACTGATTACACATCAAGAAAGCTGAAGTGTTCATTAAAGGGTTAATGAGTAGTAGACAATTAGCACAATTAATATTAAAAAAACAGGGAGGGAATGCAAGCCAAAACAGGAAACGAACAGTTTAAAGAATATTTAGATAAATTAAATGTATTCTAGTTGGCAGGGCCTGATAAAATTCATCCTAGGGTACTTAAGGCACTAGATGAAACAATCTTAGAACCGTTAAGAATTATCTTCAAGAACTCATGGAGGACAGGTGAGGTCCCAGCAGACTGGCAAACATAGTATCTATCTTTTAAAAGTGGAACAAATAGGATCTGGAGATTTACAGACCAGTCAGCCTAACTTTCATACCTGGAGAGATATTTGAAAAATTTTTTAAACGATCAGTTTGTAAGCACCCAGAGGATAAGGTTATAAGGAATAGCCAGCATGGATTCACCAAGAACAAATCATGCCAAATCAACCCAATTTCCTTCTTTGACCGGGTTAGTGGCCCAATGTATGGGGGGAAGCAGAAGATGTGATATATCTTGATTTCAGTAACACTTTTCACAGTCCCACATGACATTCTCATAAGCAAACTAGGGAAAAGTGGTCTACATGACATTACTATACAGTGGGTGCACAACTGGTTGAAAGACCATAGTCAAAGAGCAGTTATCAATGGTTCCCTGGGAAGGCATATGAAATGGGGTCCCCCCACAGGTCAGTACCGGGTCTGGTAGTATTCCATATTTTCATTAATTACTTGGATAATGGAGCAGAGAGTATGCTTATAAAATATGCAGCTAAAAGCAAGCTGTGAGGGGTTCCAAGCACTTTAGAAGACTGGGTTAGAATTCAAAACGACTTTGACAAATTGGAAATTTTTTCTGAATTCAGCAAGAGGAAATTTAATAAAGGTAAGCGCAACATACTTGCTTTAGAAAGGAAAAATAAAATTCACAGCTACAAAATGGCTAGATAGTAGTACTGCTGGGATAAAGTAAGAATATCCTTAATGTTTTCTCTGAATACTGTGTGCGCGCTTCAATTTTCCCAATGTATTACTCAAGTATCTAGGTGGAAGGATAAGCGTGTGTGATCATTGCAGCGACCCCTAGACTACCGAATGGCTGCCTGGGCACAAAGAATGGCCAACACTTTGTATCATCGCAACCGATGGCCAGAGCCCATCTTCTACAAGGAGCCAGACAAAGGTGTTGGAGAACAAAGAGACTAGGTGACCTGTTTGCTTGGGAAAGAGACAAAGCATGGAGGTGGAGTGGCTGGGCATGACTGAGGCTGAGCTACTGGAAGGAGTCCGTCTGCTGGTTTGGGAGTCAGAAGAAGAGCCCAGGGCTCTGGAGCCCCTCAAGATGGACTTTGCTATAACTTCCTGGCTTCTGTGTTAACAAGATCTGTTCTACGCTGTGTTCCCGACGACTAATAAACCCTTCTGTTTTACAACACTAGCAGAGATTCACTGCTGACTGCAAAGTTGGGGTACATGGCCCTTTCTGGGTGTGTGAGGCTTCCCCAGGTGTCCCACCCAGGTAGACTCACTGTGGGAAGCTCACAGTGTGAACAGGGATGCTGACTGCTCCAACGTCAAACCCAGGAAATGCTGAAGCCAGGGAGGCTTCTTGCCCTGGTCAGTGTGCACCCTGAGGGGAGACACATTACACTAGTGTCCTGACTGGCTTCATTCAGAGTACTGAAACTGTAACTCCGTGCCAGCAGCTGAAAAGGATCTGAGAGTTATAGTGGATCAAAAACTGAATATGAGTCAACCATGTGCTGCAGTTGCAAAAAAGGCTAATACTCTGGGTGTATTAACAAGGGTATTGAATGTAACATACAGGAGGTAACTGTCCTGCTCTATTCAGCATTGGTGAGACCGCACCTGCAGTACAGTGTTCAATTCTGGGCACAACACTTAGGAAAGACGTCAACAAACTGGAGTGTCCAGAGGACAGCAAACAAAATGATAAAAGGTTTAGAAACCTTTCCTCTTACATCAAGTTTAAGAGAATTGGGTATGTTGAGTCTTGAGAAAAGAAGACTGAGCAGGGACCTAATAACAGTCTTCAAATATGTTAAGGACTATTATAAAGAGGACAGTGATCAATTGTTCTCCATGTCCACTGAAGTAGAACAAGAAGTAAGAGGCTTAAGCTGCAGCAAGGGAAATTTAGGGTAAATATTAGGAAAATCTTTCTAACTATGAGGGTAGTTATACTCTGAAATAGCCTTCCAAGAGCTGTTGTGAAATCCCCATCATTTGGAGGTTTTTAAGAACACACTGGACAAACACCTGTTGGGGATGGTCTAAATTTACTTGGTCTCGCCTCAGAACAGGGGATTGGTCTTGATGACCTCACTAGATCCCTTCTGACCATACAATTCTATGATTTCCAAAAACCTAGAATACCTTTGCTCTTCTTTTCATTCTCCGAAAATTTCTATGATAATCAAAGGAAATCAAATTTTTGATAAAATACTAAAATAATTACAACTTCAAAATTTGCAGCCTAATTCCTATTAAAAGCTCTTTGAAAGAAAGCTAAACACACAGGCTAGAGATATCAGCTGGATGTTTCTTCTAAAATAATCACTACTATAACAGTTAATATTATTTAAATTGCCTCCACTGAGTTTCAGAATTTACACTACCCAAAGCAACTGTTTAAGTTCTAAGATACAGGAAATCTGGTTTAAATTGTTCCATATTTGTAATGCCAATTTAACAAACTTTTTTTTCTTTTAAACGTTAGCTTTAGTTCATTTGTGATCCACTATAACTCTCAGATCCTTTTCAGCAGTATACTGAAAACCTGCAGACACCATAAATCTTTGCTAAAGAGCAGAATTTCTATATTGTGTATTTCCAATGGCCCTGTTCATTTTCTATTAAGCAAAAGCAAATTATTACTAATTCTCTGTACTACAGTTCAGTAGTACTGTGCAATATTTGTATCAATACACCAGCTATTTTAAGCAGTCATTTCTTCTACACGGTAAGTTTCAAATGAAGCCCTATAGTTAATCTGTACCATCCATACCTTCTTCTTCCCCTTCAGTGGACACTTCGTGGTGGTTCTGAATTCCATAGCTATTTCTTCTCAGTGATTTCCGCCTTCTCTTCACTCGAGAATACATGTCCATGTTTTCCTAGAACAAAATGAATTTGCTCATTAATCAATGGAAAGTAGTGCTTTCCATCTTCCATGTGCTTTACCAACAAATTACCCTGAGAGGTAGGTTAAGTATTCACATTTTACAAATGAGGAGGATTGAGGAATGACTCTCCTGGGGCCACAGATTGTGTCAACTGCAAAGCCTGTGTTTAGAACTCAGGCCATCACGGTGCCTAGTCCTGTTTTTGGACCACTAAACCATGCTTCCCCTCCAATTTAACAACACTAGCACAATATGAGAATGCGTCAGTCAATTCCCCATTGACCAAACAGGATGACATATTAATTTCTTTCTAAAGTTAAATACACCTAGCTAGTGTCAGTGTTTATTTATAACAGTCAGCATTAGCTAGGAGTTGAAAAATGCTTTAGAATTTTAACATACCGTAGGCAACTGACCTATGGAGAGTTATAAAAATATACATATAGTGACTGGATGTTACTTTTATCCAAAATTTGACAGATTCTGAACTTACAAATTCTGTGTCTGTCCACATTCGCAGCCGTTCTACTTCTCCAGACCGCCTATTCCGCCTGATGTTAATATTGTCCATTTCTTGTAGTACAGCTTCAGCAGTACTAAATATACAAAATATTTAACATAAGAAAGACAAATATTCAGACTTAAAATAGAAGAGCTTCAGAAGTTTTACACATATAAATAATTCTATGTAGCACACTACACTCAAATTATAATTTCTTTGAATTAAATATGGAATAAAATCTACAGATTAACTACAATTTGATTTCAGTCTCTCCTGCAACTCCTTGAATCCATCAATTAAACTAAAAATAGTCATCCATAATAAAGAAAACTGAAAGAAGAGGGTAAAAATATACAAAGAGTCTGCATAAGAAAAAAAATGATTATTTTATGGGCTTTGATTCAAACTCTAATACCACATTTAATTTAAAATGTGCGTTCTCTTTGTCAGTTGTGGGGGTTAATTTTTAAATCTGGCGAGTCTGAATGGCATACTTTGGAAAAGTACCAGACTGACAGCCTGTGAGCCTGAAGCTTTTCATCCACATAACCAGAGTAGCACAAGTAGCAACGCTGCACTCCTGTAAATGTTCCTCAGTCCTGTAAGCTCTATAAAACTGCAACATTTCTCTGAGGCAAGGGCTAACAAATAAAGAGATTTTTTTTAAAATAACCAAAGATGTGAAATGAAAGAGACATATATAGAACTCCACTACTCATTAATTTGCCTCTGTTGCATCACTTAACTTAATCATTGTATAATTAGACTGCAAGCTCTTCAAGAGGACTTTTACCTTAAATGCCTTTAAAGTGTTAAACTGATGCTGCTACAGACTGAGCAGGACGGGCCACTTCTCGGGAAGGAGATGACAAGTCATCAGCCAGGCCAAATCACTCATCTACTTATTTGTCATGACTGTCAAATTATTGTTAGCTGTGGTAAAGGTTTGTGTACCGTGGATATTTGTCCGCTGGAAATGTACTAAAGCTGCATAACAGTTGGAAATGGTATCAACTTTCAGTCATTTCCACTCAGCACTTTAAAGGTAAATCTAAAGTGTGAAATCCTGAAATCAATGGAGGTAAAGATAACAGTACAGACCCATTTACACGCGAATCCGCTTAACGCACGGTAGCGCCATGCCTCCCAGTGCTACCTATTTAACACGCAAGACTCGTTAACACCCGGAACAGAAACTTTCTATATGTAGCGCTACAGATTTGCTCACTAACTCACTGACATAGAAATCGACAGGAAGTGCAGAGCGGAAATGGGTTGTATGTCTTTACCAATATTTACCAATCACACACGCTTAGTCATGGTCACACTAGAGAGATATAGACTATATAGCAGTTATATAGTAATACATATACTACATTAGAAAGTTTTAACCGTAGGCCTAATATAATGGCAGAGGGCAAGCATCAGCATTCCTACACCGTAGGAGAAAAGCTAGCTGCAATAGATTGAGTAAAGAGCAGAGAAACTGAGGCCAAAGTTTCAAAAGATATTGGGATTGCTGAATCTACTCTCCGAGGATGGCTAAAAAACGAATCTAAGCTGAATGGCTTTGTACAAAATATCGATTCTGTCACAGGGCTTAAGCGAAAACGTGTGCGCTATTCGACAAAGCCATGCACACATGGTTTGCTCAGAAAAAGCTGAAAGGAATGCTGCTAAGTGAGCCACTTCTTCAAGCCCAAGCAACAAAATTTGGAAATTTAACAGGGGATGAATCATTCCACGCCAGCAAGGGGTTTATAAGTCGTTTTAAAAAGCATCATGGCATAGCGCAGGTATCGATTTCTGGAGAAAGGCGATCAGCCGATGAATCAGCTGCAAATGCATTTCCCACCGAGTTAAAATCTATTTTACAAAATGAAGACTACCACGAAGAACAACTTTATAATTGTGATGAAACAGCTTTATTTGCATGCTACCTGATAAGACTTCAGCCTTTAATTACGAGACAGAGAAAACAGCTGGATTTAAAAAAAATTGAAGATCGTGTCACTCTTCTTTTTCGTAATAATAATATGGGCAGCCATAAGCTTGCTCCTCTTCTCGTTGGCCGCTTTCATAACTCTCGCTGCTTTAATCACCTCAATAGAGCCAAACTGCCAGTAATATACGCTAACAGCAAAAATGCTTGAATTACAAGACACATTTTCGATGACTGGTTCCACAACAGCTTTGTTCCAGCTGTTCGTAAGCATCTGTGGTCGAAGACACTCGAAGCCAAAGCACTTTTGCTACTTGACAATTGTCCAGCCCATCCTCCAGCCGAATCACTGGTATCGAGCGATGGAAAAATTCAAGTGCTATACCTACCATTCAACACAACATCAAAAATTCAACCTTTAGACCAAGGCATTATTCAGAATTTTAAAAACAATTATCAACGGGAGCTGATTTTGGCCATCGTGTCTTGTATGTCTTCAGGCATTTCCGAATTCCTGAAACAGTTAAACATGAAGGAAATTATTTAGTTAAAAAAGCTTGGGATGGAGTAAAACAAAAGTCCATTGAAAACTGCTGGATGAAGGTCTTGGTAATGCCTTTTCTGTCAAAGACGGCTCAGACTCAGAAAACTCCAGCAGTGGCACTCATTCAGAGCCAGACTTTGAAGGATTTTCGGAAGAAGACGCCCTACAAACACGCACGCAGACAAAAAGAGGATAAAGGAAAACTTCTCTTTCAAATGATAAAAGATTTTAGTTTGGATACATCGCCGGAAATCATTACCGAGTCGCTGGAGATGGATGAAGATTGCCCGACTTCAGAATTTCTGTCCGAGGAAGAAATATTAACAGGCTGCGAGGCTAAGTCAGACCACGAAAGTGATGGCGAGGACATCGTTGAAAAGGTCAGAATTTCAGCCACAAAAGCCCTTAGTGCTGTAGAAACTATTGTAAGATTTATGGAGGAGCAAAAAGTGAGAAAATATAGAAATCATTCATCTGCAGCGAATGACAGACTTCAAAAGAAAGAAAAAAAATACGAGCCAGAAAGAGCAAAAATAACGCCATTATTTTCTGTTAAGTGAATCATAGACACTTTTTTCAGCATGGCCCTCTTAACGTGCTTTCCGTTAACACGCGGTCATGATGGCTTGACTCCCGACATCCGCGCATAAACGGGTCTGTACTGTATTTAGAAGTCTGGTGGAACTTTAGGGAATTGTTGGAAGATGGTCGTTCCCTGCCACCAAACCTGATAGTATGTATATAAAGTTGTCACACTAAGGAAGGGAGAAACCCCTTCAACAAGAGTCAAAATTAAACTCAAAATCAAGATGTTATAATAAGGAAAACAGAGAGGAGGAAAAAGGACAAAAGCTTAATATCATGCAGAGTTTTGACAGGACAACTAACAAATAGGTTACGCATTTAAACGTAAGAAAAACAGAAGTTTGAACCTAAATGAGATAATAAGAGACTTGAACCAACACTACCAATTGACAAAACAGAAGATGGAAATAAAGAGTAGAAAAGCATCAAACACAATACGTGACTGATGCCACTAATCGCTTTCTTCAACTTTATGTAAGTCTTGTCAATACAGCTTTAGGGACTTCCATGGATCAATTTATTATTGTATACTTGTGTAAATACTAAGTTTCTCTCTATTTAAGGTGCAAAAGGCCTTATACGATTTCTATTACATGGAATGGAACTGTTAATATACAAAATAAAAAATAAGAAAAATTGATGAAGGTTTTGCCATTAACATTAATAGTGAAAGAATGTCACCCAAGGGCTTTTTCTCCCTTTGAATTTATAACCAATACTACTAAGTATTTCTGATGCACAATGTATCTGATCTGGATACATTCAATTCATTGTTCATAATTTTGGACACTTTGGATCAATGTAAACACAAATGCAGGCATCAGTATCACGATCTTATATTACCATCTTTATAGTAAATTGCATTTGAACTCCTTTTTTATTCAACTCCTCTTCCTCCTCAATATAGTATTAGGAAAGCAACCAGGGAAAAAGTAACTCAAGAGAAACTTATAATTTTTTTTCCACTGTATTCAGTAACTACCTGGTTACTGAGCACATTGAAAAAAGCAGTTTCTGTGAAAAACTAAAGTTCAGCAGAATACATTTTTTATCAGTAATAAAGATCATACTTAGCAACTACAGAACATTTTTCATGTTTAGAACATTTTGCAACCACAGATACTCAGTATCTCTCAAAAGGTAGATATTATACCCATTTTACAGAAGAGAAAAGTGCAACAGAGAGGTTAAGTGACTTGCCCAAAGCCACAGAGGAAACCACTTTCAAAGCAAGGAATTCCTGGCTCCCACTCCTGTGTTCAGATCAACAGATTGTGCCTTCCTCTCTGATCAACTTTATCTGCACTGTAAAGTCAAAAAGTGACACCAGTCCTGTATGCAGTATTTCATTATTAACAAGTGGTAAAGAAACAGCTACGAACTTGTTGACATTTTATAATTCAGCCATACAAGCAAGATGTACTTAACTTCCAACCATTGTTGATACGGTTGATCACTTATTTAAATGACGTTTAGATAGAAAGCCATGTATTGCAGTTCTAACTATTTTTAAAAAAACATCAGGATGCTTTGTGATGTGTACAACTGAAGTATCCACACATACCTGTTTACTAGCTGATCAAACAATAAACTCTGATTCAAAGTTTCAAATCTGTTTTTCCTGGACCGACAACTTTTTCTCACTTCTATATCTCCGTTTATGCAAGCATGGTCCCCATCTCCCTTTTTTTCCCCTCGAAGGGAATGGCTTTTGAGAGCTAAGAGAAATTTGTATTACTACTTCAAAATGCAGGCAACAACATTTTTACAAACAAGAATTCAATGATCAGATTACTTAGCAAGGATAAGAAACCAAATGATACTAAGATCCAGAGTCAGTTTCCCCATGAATGTGCATCCTGACATTTACTGTAGTAAGGGATACCCGTTTTAAGTCCCTACTAATGTTATTTTACTAACTGTACTTCTGTGCCATTTGGGCTAGTTACTTTTACATAAATATATATTATTTTGTGGTAAGCTTGTATTTGAACACCAAAAATTCAGTATTTTGAAGTTAACATTATGACTGTCATCTTCCCTTAGCACAGTTTCAGTTCTTACACTTTCCTTAAAGTACAGTATCAAAAGGTTTTATATTACTGATAGAGTTTTATTTTGCATAGAAATCTATTGTATGTATGCTATCTGTCCAGTGCCTAGCACTATGGAGCCCCATTTTAGATGGTTCTTTAGGCACTATAAAAGTAATTAATAATGTTTACCACAATACTTAATGGAATTGAATATACTCACAGACTCAATACAGAACTGAAGGAGAGAGAAATTAAGAAGTATAGACGTGAAAACTGGATACGTTTTCAGTTGAGATTTGAAATGAACTGGCAAATTCCTAAAGTAAAGATTCACAGGAACACTGTTCCAGGTGGCAGGAGTGATCTCTGTAACTTCTTCTAGGCAGGGCTGGAGCAGCTGTCAGCCTCGGGGCCGCCCACCAGAACAGCTGACCAGCGGTCAGCCCCAGGGCCACTGGAGCAGCAGCCAGTCCCGGAGCAGTGATCCCTGAATCAGCTGACCAGCAGCCAGCCCTGGGCCCACTGAAGCCATGGTTGCCCGCTGCCAGAGCAGTGGCTAGGGGTGGAGCAGCAGCAGTTAACCCCTCCCGCAGGAGCACCTGTGGGGCTGGGGCAGCTGCAAGCTCCAGCAGTCCTGACAGTGCTCTGTTTGTCCCTGTCCTCCTCCCACGGTATTTTTACTGAACGTCAGGGACAGGTTGCAGGTAGAGCTCTGCTAATCTGTGAATATCCACTTTATATTCATGGCCCATGTTTGCCGATTGGATGTGGATAAAAATTTAGTGCCCACCCAGGGCTCTAGCCGTGGGCTTCCATGAATTTTTGTTTATTGCCTGCAACTTGTCCCTGACTTTTACTAAAAATACCTGTAACAGAATCTTAACCTTACTCATGCCCAAAGGAAGCATCCAATAAATTATCTGAAGGAATCTGAGAGAAAACAGTTTCTTGTAAACACAAGGAGAAACACACCAATGAAGGTGTCAAAATATATACATTTGAGAATCATCAATATAAAAGTAGTTAAGATTAAATATAGATATAAAATAACCATAGGGAAAACACTCACATAAGCTACGTCCAGTTGGTAATGTAGCACCAGCCTGAGACGTTAACCTGGAAAACAATTATATTAAATATGCAAAATATATCAACATTTTATTTACTATATAAAAGCTACAATGCAACCAACACTTTTGAAATAGAAACCCTTAAGTGTTATACCCTGACCATAATTTAAAGCATTTGTAAAATGTATTCTCAAGAATTTGACTTGGCATCTGAAGTTGGAAGTGAAGTTGGCATTGGCCACTGTCAGAAGACAGGATACTGGGCTAGATGGACCATTGATCTGTCCTGTCCTTGTGTTCTTAACATTGTACTAATATTTTATTTTATACCAACAAACAATTTTAACTAGTATCACCATACTGAAAAAATATATCAATATCTGTTCCACTAATAGGCTACACCACTTCACTTATGTCCCCTCCTGTTAAATAAGCCACACTCTGGTTCCACAAACTGTGGTTCTGCTGTTAATCAGAAGCAAACACCATTTAAACTCTTAATGTTTTGGTGCATGACTGAAACCAATGAAAACAAAAGCAATAAAAATGTGCAGGGCAAAGTTATGAAAACAAAAAAATTAAATCTATTTAACTAATCTAACAACTGAAGGGAAAGAGACTGACAAATCAAGATTACTTAAATCAACAGTAAAAATATTACTTAAGACCTCAATCGTATGATTTCTGTGTTTCTTTTTTTAAAGTTAGTTTTCCAAAGGAAAGTTGACTCCCACTGGGTTGGTATGAGAACCAAACATGATCCAACTCTCTTCCAGCAATTACATGGGTTAACAGTTATTGAACCATATATTCAGTCTTGATTTTTACATTAGAGTAAAAGATTATATTTCTTATCTGTTAAGACTAACTTATTAAAACATAAGTTAAACTGTTAGAGTTAAAATGTACAAATGCCCTAAAATCATGATAGAATATTAGCTGAAAATAACGTGTTGGTACCAGTACATATAAAATCATAACAGATTAATCAAATCAAGAATTTATATTCATATAGCTCCTGTCATCCTGAAGGATCTTAAGTGCTTTATAATGTGTATAAGGACCATTGAACTGCAATAACTATTGTGCACACTGGAAGGCGTTGGGGACAACTGATTTGAGGTTGGAAAGTGAATAAATTAACCAGTTGAAAAAGGGAAAGGGAAATCATTTGACCCAGGCTCCACTGTCCCTTTACTCTTGCAAAAATTTCTACTTCTGAAGAGATGGATTTAAACTAGGACATGGGTTTCTGCTATTATTTACCTGGGAAAGGGATACCAATTTTTCATAAAACAAGGGACTCACCATGGTAGACCTCAAAACTTTGTCACAGTGATGGATAGGAACACATAGGAGAATGGCATCTGCAAATCATGACCCTCTCAGGCATTTTTGACAAACAAACATTAGTAATTGCTTTATGGTCACATGTATTTGTTGCTTAATACCAAAAAGCAGAATCTCCACACAGGTTATTATGCATGGCTATTTTGGGCTTGTTTAAGTAGCCCATTGCTAAAATTTTATTTTAATCTCAGTTTTCTACTTTAAATCTAGTTTCTGTAACAGACCAAGATCCAGTCATCAGACACATCGTAGCACTTCTTAACGAGCAATGATGTTATCTCCAATGTCCTGGCCAAATTTCAATTCAGGCAAATTGAGTTCACCTAAGTGATATTCTTCCAGGGTCAATTAAAAAATACCCTCAGATTTTATTTAAATTAAAATACACGTTTATTTTTAAAAAATAAGTTATTTAAATTTGAAATTGACAACCTATGTGTAGGCCTAAACTTATTATAGTCTATTATAATTGTTTACATGAAATACAAAAAATAATATTAAGCAGTACATGTTTGCTACCCATTTTAAAGAAATTCAAACCACTGGACTGGTGGAAGTCACAGAATAAGCATCTGGAACTGGAGTTTTCTGAAGTGATCAATGTTTTTGATAGCAGTCACCTCTTCTGCAGGTGCAGGGAGAAGATTTTTTTTCATTTCACTTTATTCAACTAGTTCAGTTCAATGATTAGTTCATTCAAAGTTAAGAGACCAATTGGGAATTGAAAAAGCAGGAAAGCTTGCTTTCCTCTTACAATCTATCAATAAAAAATTAGGTCTGAAAGGATAAGACCTACACCAGTTCTAAAATCTTGACGGACAGGTGACAGCCACTACCGGTTCAATTCACTAACTATAGATAACACTTCCTTTTTTTTTTTTTTTTTAAAAAAAAGTTATATTTTCCATTTAAAACTGTTTTGATAAACTTTGATACTTTTTGTGTATCCAGCACATTAAAGGAAGTTTATTAAAAAATTTTAAACAATTGTGCATTTTAATTGTATTTCAATTTCCATCCAAAGAGAGTTTGACAAATCACAAATAAAAAAATGTAATAATTAAGAAATTCACCATTTTCGAACATAATAAAAATGTAAGACCTAAGAATATGAATAAATTCAAGTTAGCTACATAATTGTTTAAATAAATGTGTGTCGATATAGTGTATCCCTCTGATTAGCAAAAAGAAGCACTAAATTTAGCATAAAGATTATATAGAGTTGCAATTCAACATATTTTATTGCTTATCAACAAATGACAATCAACCTTTCTTTAGGAAAATTAAAAAGTCCAAAAGCAAAATATGATTAAAATCAGTGATTTTAAACAAGGTTTCCAGTTTGCTGCTTTAAATCATGATTAAAATTGGTGATTTAAATTGCTCTGACTTAAATCAATCCACAATGTATTCTTTACATCTGGTCTAACAGTTAAACTTTGAATAGTGCTGGTGTAGACTGTTAAATGACCCAGCATATCAGAGGTGGCTGTATATATGCTCCAAGATGATTTCTGAAGGAAGCTATATAATAAGCTGTAGTCATATAGTTCTCAGTTTAAATAATCACCTGTCTTATCCAATGGGAGAAGTGGGGGGTGGTGGCTGGAAGCCATGCAACAACGCACAGAGCCCTCTGCGCCAACGCCCCGCCTCCCCAGGCTGCAGGGACATTGTGCTGGGCGCTTCAGGGAGCGGCAGGGGACTGGTGGGGCCATGGGGGGCAATCCCGCGGGCCGGATGCAGATTGCAGGCCACGTTTTTGAGACTCTGGTCTAGTCCTATACAATATGCAGTAGCAGTTGCAAAGGCCAAGATCAGTGTTCAAACAAGCTGTTCCAGGCACAACAGCGTGAGGCTTTTGCTTGGTGTCCATATACTCACATAATTACTTGCATCCAATCTGAAGAACTTCTTTAAACCTGGAAACTTTTTCTTAAAATTAAATCAATCGGTCAGAAAATGAAACAAATGTCTCCTTTGGTTTTGGCTATATGGAATGCATAGTACTTTGGCCTGCTTCTAATGTACTCAACTCCTGAGTCAGCCATGAGTTGTCTAACAATGGAGAGGCTGAAAAAACACTGAAAAGGAGAAGGCTGGATCATCTTGTATACAAGAGGCTGAAAACACACAGATTTCCTAATTTAAATTTAGGGTCAGCTGCTAATTCTGAACACAAAGAACTCCTAGTGAAGTCATCAAGAGTTCTGGATGCACAAAAAACGTAAAACTGGACCCTAACACATTCCACCATTCCCATTTTAACAGATAAAGTGGTGTCACATAAGGAGGAACACAACCCATAGGATTCACATAGTTCTCATTCCAGAAGACTGTAGACTATAGGAAAATAGTTCAACAATAACATGATGCAAAAGTATGCTGTTTCAATATAATGCACGTTCTCTCACACTCAATGTAAGTGGATTTACTAAGTTTACTAAAATGAACAGAACTTTGCCTTTTCATTCAGTGCACCAGGTTACCTGGACTGTCCAGCTGAAATGCTCCATTCCTCTCGCTGTCCAGTATTGCGTGATTTTGATTTGTCTTTGCACACAGGATCAGCATGTTTCAAGGTACGTTTGGCTGGAGGGGATATGTGACTATCACTCAAACTAGCATCACTACCTTCATCTTTCTGAAAGAGACAAAGCATCACACCACATTTCATTGGTTCATTTTTACACTTCCCATAGCGAAAATAAGATTCCACTACTCACCTAAAGAAAGTCAAACCCAGTTCACACAAACATAGCAGTGCTTTACTGATGCTCATGGAACACACGTACCTTAAAAATGTACACATGCTGGAGGCTAACTCACCAGTTCACCTAGCAAAGTCTTAACACTGGACCTTGTGAGCGTAAAATATTAAAATTCTGTACATATCAATAATTCTACTAAATATTTCTAATTTTCCAAAACCCATTGTACTGCATCCCTGGAAACATTACTGCCCTTACTATTACTTTAATTCATAAAACACCTTTTCTCTCTCTTATATTACTGAATATTTTTAAGTAGCTAGCTATTACAAAAAGAAACATCAAGATATTATGACCTGTTCTCTCTCATACCTTTAGCAAAATGATTAACACATGAATTCTAAAGCATCCATCACCAAAGCGTCTGGACAATTTTAGGTTTTGTGTTTTCAGTTGAAAAATGTGCAAATATTGAGATATCTATCTCAATAAAAAATGGAAAGCGTTAAAAGCTTCTGAAAATATCTATATCAGAAATCAAAAATATTTAAAAGGAAACTAAATGTTTTTATTTCTTTCAGCACTCTTCCTTTACAGTTTTCAATAACAGCATAAAGGATTAGTAGAAAGAATACTTTTAAACACCATACTATGTAGAAATTACTAGTAACCACATTGATCCATGAGGAAAAAGCAGACAAGGGAGATAGCTAGACATCTTAACACACCCAAAAACAAGTGACACACACTATTTCTAGCCAACCAAAAACATCCCTTCTTCAGCGGGAATTGTTCATAATCATACAAAAAATGTAAACATTAAAAAAAATGCAAAAACACCCAGTAGATTTCAGTGAAACATCTTTTCCCACCAAAGAAATTACTCAAAGTTAAAGATACATCCATCCATCCTAGGTACTGTGTACTATCTTTCTAGAGGATGGATTAACTACAGTGATGGCAAAATTCCTTCTATCATTGTCGCAAGTTTCTACACCATAGTACTACAGAAGCACGGTTGCAGACAATAGACAAACCCCACATTCTTTAGGGTAGAAAGCTGTCAGGTAAACTTTTCAAGACTTGTCCCTTCTTCAAAGAAAACTGGCTGTGGGTTTCAGCAAAATATATGTCATCTTTTATTAGGTCTACTATCGTAAAAATCCACTGATTTGCCATAATGAAATTATGTATATATTATTCATAATGCTCATAGTTAAAGTGTAGTGGAAGAGACATATTGTCATGGAGAATAGAAAACTATATATATGTCCTGATACAGTATGACGCTTGTAGCAAAGTTAAGCTAAGAATTCAACTAAAGAATGCTGATTGTCTGACAGAAGAAGAGGAGTCCAATGTAGAGGCTGAGCCACGTTCACGTTCCACTATGAAGACAAAAATGACACCCAAACTGCATCAAGTGTAAGCTAGTCACACGATTGACAGAAACAGCACATGAACATGGGCAACTGCTGACCCTTTCATGGCAGAAATGAAATATCTATGCAGAAAATGCAACACCATTGTAAGATATAAAACAGATGATGACGATGGAAGTGGAAGCCAACAGGAGACAAATGAAAGTAGGTGATGAGAACATAAAGAGGTAGGTGGCATGTAGAGCCTACCTGACACTTCAAGAATGGAATCTGGTTTTGGATCACCATAAAAAGATCAGAAAATAGAACGAAGGGCAGAGGTAGATGAGAATACTAAGACCTAGCAAGAACCAGAAGGAGCATATTCAATTGATGGTGCCTCTATATTATTAAGAAGCGTACCTAAACGTTTTGCATATTGTTATTTTTCCTTTTCTTTGCAGAAAGTCAAATCATCACACAACCATTGGTTATCACCACTTGGACTTTGCACTTCTATTGCATATATCTAAAGTGCTCTCAAAGCACTTTACAAGCATTAATAGGCTTAGCCTCAACACCACGGAGAAATGCTCAAAGACTGCAGGCGATAACTTACTCATCATAATTAACAATACAGCCAGAAGAAAACAAGAAGCAACTTCAGAGACCTGCATAGGAAATGACTGTACAGGTAACACTAGAGAGTCTTCCAGTGCAGAAGGCAAATTAAAGAAGAAATAATCAAGACGGTGGGAATGGGGAATTTGGAATCACACAGTAGCAGTCTTGGGGCATGTTTACACTTACCTCCAGAGTGATCGATCCAGCGGGGGTCGATTTATCGCATCTAGTGAAGACGTGATAAATCGACTACCGAGCGCTCTCCCGTCAACTCCGGTACTCCACCGGAGAAAGAAGCGCAGGTGGAGTCGACGGGGGAGTGTCAGCAGTTAACCTACTGCAGTGAAGACACCATGGTAAGTAGCTCTAAGTACGTGAACTTCAGCTACATTATTCACGTAGCTGAAGTTGCGTAACTTAGATCGATCGCCCTACCACGCCCCAGCGTAGACCAGGTCTTAATGTGGAGATTACACAGCTTCCATTGCAACAACAAGACACCCAATGTCCTAGGTAGCAGCACTACTAGGAATGTCAGGAAATGTTTAAACTTGGAACAAAGTAGAATTTTACTCATACAAAAACTGATTATGCATCTCCAATTTTCCCATCAGGCTTTTTGGGTTGCCTAACTGGAATGACAAACTGCAATTACCCAAGGGTAAAACAATTAAGAAACATGTATTTTGGTGGAGGGTGTGGCAGGTGGAGTTTTGTTACACCTACAAAGGGAGAGAAACTATTACAGTATTAGGCAACTGGCTAAGATGCAGCCCCATAAATGTCATATTGTAAGATCTTCTCTACATTTACAAAAAAACATACATTTTCACCCATTTTCCATGCCATATGTTAATTAACTCATGTTAAAATCCCAATTTGAACACTTGTTAGATAAAGTAACCCTGCGGGGGAGCCTAGCAAACATGTAAAATTGCAACTGCCTTGTCTTCACAGATTGGCTTTTTGCAGATCTAACGCCTTATAATTTTTTTTTAAGTAATCATCCCTTAAGAACACAAGAATGACCATACTGAGTTAGACCAAAGGTCCATCCAGCCCAGGATCCTGTCTACTGACAGTGGCCAATGCCAGGTGCCCCAGAGGGAGTAAACCTAATAGGTAATGAAAAGAGTCCATGCAACTTGCAGGGATTTCACTCTAGTCACTGTACCTTTCAATTTCTGTTCTTAACCAACAATGTGGAATCAAATTTTAAAACTTTAAAATAAAGCAGTGGTTTTGGATCCCAAAATCCTATTAAAATTCAGATAAATCGGTACTAGAGCTCTCCCAAACATTAAATGGACAGCAAGGTCTATACCTTGAATCCACTGAACACTCACGAAATTATAGTCCTATACCATAGCATGTACAGATGTGACTGTAGGTTATGTGAACAGCCAAAGGTGTGTTCTGGGCAATTACTGAAGTGCACCACTAATGCAAGTCAATCTTAATGAACACTTCCTTTCTGAAATGCCAGGAGTCTCTGTGCAACAGAGAAGCAGAGTTGCAAGTGAAGTTGCAGCACTTGTTTGAAACTAGCCTGAGTGGTACAGGAGAACAAAGCTGAGTAAAGAAGAAAGACTGCAATACTGCCTAAAGCCATTTGATAACTTGCTGGAAACTTAATACCACACCATTATTAAAAACAAAGCAGGTTTTTGCTTAAACATAGGCTACAATAACTTTTAATTATTATTACTTCTAGAGTATTAATTCTTAACCTGTTTTGTGAAAGCTACAAAATACTAGCACCTAACATTCAATCACTCAAACCCACTCCAAATACGAAAAGCACCAAATTAGATTTGGTGCAAGAGATGTTGCAGTCTATGCAACATTTTTCACCGTGAAACCCTGAAAGCTAGCACAAGGAAAAGACCTAAATTATTTTGATTCCACACACAGTAATCTGAAGCGTTGGGTCCAGGTCCAGTGGGAAAACAACAGGACCCTTTCAAGCTCAGGTGGAGTGAGCTCTCCTCCTCCTACCCATGGGGCCGAGCAGGAGGAAGAGAGCCGACCTCAGGGGCAGGAGGAGGTGGCAGTGACTCAGGTTCAGGTGGAAGAGTAGAGTCAGAAAAATGATTCAACCCTCACAGGCTCAGATTGGATGGGCGTGGGTCCAGGTCAGACCTAAAAATTAGACCCGAGCAGATCTCTACGGCCACTAAAGAAACAAGCACTGAGATGGGCTCAAGCTTCAAAATTAAGTCAGCACTGAAACAGCTGTGCAGGCACTAATGCAATGAACAGCCTTAAGACTACTATGAAACTGTGGCAGTGGAGCTGGTATCTCGTGCTGATAGCAATGCTGTCACCAGAGTGCAGAGAACACCCACTAAAATATCTTGGTAGTGCCAGTGTGTTGGCTGAAACAATATCGAGGCAACACAGTAGCAGGAACAAAAACTCTGTTCCAAAGCAAAATACTATTAAAATAAACCATGAAATGGTTTGGTTCCAAACCAAAATACCATGAAAATAAACAAGTTCTAAAGTGCATGGAAGCTCATGAGGCCTGAAAAATTTTGCACAACCATACTGGACCTGAGAAGAGGATACTGAACCTCACTGTGATCCAAAAGAGCTAGAACAATAAAGCAGTCTCCTCCAGGAAGCTCCTTTACCAACTGAATGTAAGGAACTGACTAAAGTTTGGAAGGTGCCATTTACATACTCTTTAAGAGGAGCACAACGGTCATGCTCTTCACTACTACTGTTGTGCTCAAGAATAAAAACAAAACTTCACAGCTAAGGGAGTTCGGTTAGTCTCATACTAAGGAGCAAAGAGCCAACAATGAGAGTCACAGGTGGTGAGCCAAATTTTCTGCTAATCTAATGCCACTTAAATTAATGGACTAATGCCAGCAAAGAATCTAAGTGTGAGATATGATTGCAGGTTTATAATCCATTTACACTCCTTTTACTTGGATGGAGAA